TAGTTATACTTTCCTTTGTTATATACAGCTACTCTCGTTGGCTAGCTGAAGTATTCAGTTGATGTTGTTTGATTACTCATTGTCTGTCAGTATAGTTGAAGAGCATGGAATGTGTTATTTGTTCGAACTGTATGTGATAATTAAGTTATATGTATACATATTCACGGTGATATGTACGGGGTTAATCGTTTTATATGTCTGTGCAGTTTTATACAGCTATCAACAAGAACTATAAAATATATTGCACTTTACACAACATTTATTCGAAACTACTTTGTAAGTATTTATAAATCACCAAATTAGTGGATTGTTATTTTGCTCGTGCATACAATGGTTTATCATAACTCAACACAGAGAGGTTATGTTTTCTACTGCACTGGATCTCTTCGTTTTGTACTGATTTGGTGCTTGTTGTCCACACAACCAGGTCACACCTATCATGCCTGATCTGTCGTTCAAACCGAATTCCTTGTGCTCAAAGTTTGGATATGTAGTCGCTGGAGGCCAACGGAGCCAATTAGTAGTTAAAAATTTGGTCGGAGGAAGGTATGGGGGGATCACTGTACATGCTGTTTGGTTTCCATTCCTTTGCAAAATTCCTTGCGAACTTAAAATCTGCGCTGTTCTTGATGCCAGTTTGGCGGTGCACTCTCATTGCTCTTATAGCTGTACCATAGTTCAGCTACTACCAAGGCAACAGTACTTCCTTTCTTCTTGGGCATCCCGTCGGCTGAGATCGTTCTTCTACATCGGATTTTTAAATATATACCACTTTGATGGGATCGCAATCGTATGGCGGCCTTACACCCAGATCTGCGATCTCCGGCTCAGCCCTATTATGCAACATACATCAGACACACTGTTGTCTGATCCATATCTCGTTTGGACAAACCCCGTCCCATATTTATTCCGCCAGGTCGCACACGGTATCGCTTGGGGGTTCTATCAATAACTCCATGGGTATGTACCGAACAGATACTGGGATCCGGCTGCTGGTATCAAACAACGACGAGAGTGTCAAGGTGAATGAGTGCCTTGTCAGTTCACTGTCGATTTGTGATTTAGAAGTCGACGAAGCAAGCCCATTTATACTCTGACCTGTGGCTGCGCGTATGTGTGTTGACTTATTCCAGATATCACTGTAGTGTATCTTCGTCATCGTACTGTATCATGAAAGCAGCATGTTGCCTGAGCTGATTGCCAATCCGCTCTCATCTGTGTGCAGGTGTACTCCCTCTCGGGTATGGACCATATTGTCGATATTGCGATCCCGTTTGCTGTGAACAATACAGCCGTCTCCCCAGACAACAGGACGATGCTGGTGGTGGGCGACAGCAAGGTATGCGATGTTTGCGTGTGCGTATAGCTCAAACAGGTGTGTGTGTATATTCGTTTTGTCATCTGCGAGCATTCTCGCGTAGCAACCGTGTTCGATGTATGTGTGCACGGTTTCAATGCAACAGTGTGTATCTCCCTTCACGCACACTTCGAGGTGGGTTGCCAAGATCTGTTTACGCTTTGTATGGTCCCAACTCTCTCGCTTCTGTCTACATAATATTGGAAGATTCCAATATGTTTACACCAACCAGTTTACTGTGTAGTGTGTTCTCGATCAACAAAATATATAATAGTAGGCCATCACTGCTTTGTGTGTGACTTAACCACCCCTTCATACACACGAAGTCTCAGATTCTCATGTATATATATACATCTGGGCAAGATACCTCGATGCACAGGTACAAGTATACATATGTGTGTTGATAGCAATGTATGCTTCATGCTGTCACGATAGGTGGGTCTTTTCTACGACATCAGGGGAGGGACCTATACACGTACAACCTCGTTCAATGCGTGTCAGAATGCGGCCTTCAGCTGCAATTGGAATTACGCAGGCGATAAAGTGGCCGTGGCCTGTCAGGATGGATCCATTGCTGTGTGGGATATGAAGTATCTAAGCAAACCTTTGACAAGTATTTCGTCGTCACAGGTGTGTGAACTTGCACATATGTATGTAAATGTACACACACACGCGCGTGGGCGGGGATACTCCTCGGCTCGCCTCATCGCTGCGTTATAATACTATCGAGCGTACCGACACTCATTGCCATATCTTCTGTTACTTTCCTCAGTCGCCAAACACGAGTGGGGCCTGTCGCGGAGTTAAATTCTCACATAGCTCGTCGATGGATCTGTTGGTGTTCACTGAGCACGAGTCGTTAGTGCATGTGGTTGATACTCGTGCATACGTTGAGAAGCAAACGCTACGACCGTCACCGGACCTTACACAGGGAGTGGCGGGGGTTACTTTCTCGTCAGACGCCAAGAAGCTGTTTGTTGGTAAGTTCTCCCGGTTCATTGCATGTAGGGTTTTAGGGTATCTATACATCGGCGTATCATGTTCAGAATGCGTTACATCATGCATATAGCATGTCCGTATCATTTCACATCCGGATCAAATAGCATGTTATTTTTCCGTACGGGTGCATCAATCGGCTCTATGGCACTGTGACTGAGGTCCGTGTATTTGGAGTCATTAATACCATATGACTCTCTAATTAGCTGTCGGGGCTGTCGATGTATGGAGACACACATTACCAGCCAATACAGCCAATTACACACATGCGACTACATAGTGGGGTTCATTGTATCGATCTGTGTCACTGGACGAATATTCAGTCGAGAATTGGGTGGTTTTACGCCGTGTGAGTTGTGAAATATAGATTACCTTCAACCAGACCTCCCGACGATGTCTCTATTGTGTCCCGCCACCTGGCGTCATATCGCATACACATATTCGTTCATTGGCTTTGCCTTTGTAGAACTCACTGTCCCTAGTTACTACTATTCTACTTGCTACTAGTGTCACGATATCTGCATCGTCTTCTCATTAGTTTCATACCAGCCACAGCCATAGTATCCTCACCCAACCGCTGTTTTCTACCGAGTATCCCACTGATTGTTTTTTTTGCATTCACACCATTGTCGTTATAGCTATGGAATGCGGAGTGTACGAATATGCCATCGATACAATGCAGAGGCGTCGATTCGCGGCAGGTGGTTTGCTTTGAAATGTCAAATCGAACCCAAGAATACAGCTCTAAAAATAGGGTTCAGGACGGGACCTGTCCAAATGTAGTGAATTTGTAGGGAAATGCAAAGAAGCAGAGCGCGGCATGTGCAGCAAATTGTAATGTTCACGGTAAACGTTAAACGTGACCGCTACTCGGCAGCTACCCTTACACCGAACGCACAGACGAATGGCTTGGCGAGAGATACTACTACTACACGTAGTGAACATCACGAATACAGCAACCTTTGAACTCTCAACCGATTTGTGGTTACTTAAAGTACCTCGAGCGATGAAGTTCAGCCCATTTAAAGGCGCCAGTTAACCTAGCACGCCTTATGACGAAGCTGAGACGGATCTCATATCGTCGAAGTTAGCACCCGAACCCGATGATCGGTTGCTGAGCACTACCACACCACTGTGTCCATCCACGACCACTGCGCAGCATACGCGAGTAGATTTCAACGCTTGCGCTTTTTTAAGTTAATCAGTATAACCGTATTGCAGGAGGGCCAGACACAGTGTTACTGGTTTCTGGAGATAGCATGCCTCATAACTCGTATGTCGTTTGGCTTTGCTTTCACGGCACCGCGTTGCCGGCTGTGAAGTAGACAACATTTGAACATGAGGCAGCGATAGCCGATCCACCGTATGCAGCAAACTATTATGTTCTTCCATCGAAGTTATAGTAAGTGGACAACGCGCCAGGGTTTTAGGGCTTCAGGTTCTAGAAGCGAAGCCTGGGGCCCTGAAACCCGTGAATAACGAACCTTTTTGTATCATGAGGATGAAATGCAGTACGTGAAGGGTGTACGATTATGATTACACCGGCGACGTTTTAGTACAGATGGGTGGGTTGGACAGCAAGCAGAGCGCTTACAGCCTCTGCGTAAGACATGACAATACACGGCTCTGAATTGCGAATTATTATAGCGCAATGCAGTAGCGAGGGTGGAGCGATGTTTGTTATGCCGATAAAAATTGGAATGGTGACCATAGAAAGTATCGAGTTACACCTCACATTTGAGTTTGATGATACGCACAATCGGCATTTCCGTTCAGACACAACGCTACACTTTGTTTTGTGCAGACGCCTCTAGCGTATCTGCAAGGTTTTAGGAAACTCAAACACAGTGCTTATTTGGCCTAGTTGTGCCTCTGATTGGTCGAACGCGGGACGCTTGTGCAATGGAAATGGAGCGTTTGCGATGCTCATGCCTTTACAGTAGGATATATCTCAGCTATGGAAAAGCCGTGTCTTGCCCGAACCAGGTCTATTGTTAAACTGGTAATAAATCTTTGTAAATAAACACTTTTGTCCGCGAGGCTGCGTTCTCCCACTTATATGTCCAACTTCAATAACCAACTGGTGGTTCCTTCGAGTGAAGCAAAAGAGTTCATCGAAATACGAGTTAGATTCTCGACTTCAGAAATTTAAATTATATAAAAAACAGTCAGATATGTTTTTATTACCGTATACTTTTGTGCGCATGCTCGTGTTTCTCAGCTCAGAATTTGAAGGCCAGCAAAAATATCATGACAGCACATGCTATAAATAAAAATAGGATGCAGCATAGCTTCCGCCGGGACTTCTTTTGATATTTCTCTCCCTGTTGGGTGTGTGCCATAGAACGGAGATTCGTTAATGCCTAATTCTATAACTTCGGGAATCCAGTCTTCAAAGTGCACGTCAGGTACACACATGCGAGTTGACACACATGCGAGTTTACACACATGCCGAAAACAAGGAAAACCCAAGGAAAACGCTAATCGCAATCCACAGACACTTATGACTGCCATTGCCCGGCAGGCTGTATCTCACCTCTTGTAATTGCACTAGGCCTTCAGCCACACTCGTGGACACCTGTTCCAGATTATAGTCTATTCGGTCCAGCATTGTACCCTGTGTACATACACGCAAGGACACACATAGATGTGAAATTGAAAAGGGATAAACGTACCAAAAGAATAGCAGGCTCATCTCCGGAACACCTTAGTCACAGCCATACAATGATCGCGTGATTGAACCATGCAAGTGTGCATCATATCCTCATAAACTCGTATCTGCAATTTACTTTGGATGGTCAGGCTGCCAAACTCAGGCACCTGCGACAATAGCGACTTGCACATGTTTCCACATACACACCTTCATTGCATTACTGGGTAGAAATGGACATTCTACTATATAATTAATATTCAACAGACTGCTTACACAGCACCTATAGCATCCTGATACTTAGGTCAAGCAGAAACACCCACCTGGTCTATGATCAGCACTGATAATTCCTTGAAGATCTCTCCTAATTCATTGATCGACTGCATCACATTGGCAACCTACAAATGTCCAACGTGTGACGAGTGTAAGTCGTCTGATAAAAAAATTGGAGTCAGTCAAAATAGCCCGCGTCACAGGCATTCGACTCGCTACGTAATGATTAATTAGAAGTTTAAAAGGGACAGTGAGACTAATCAAAGGCATTGGCCATACTGAATGAAGAGTTTCATTAGATCGGTAACAACGAGAACCACAGGCACAAGCCAGAATTGTCACAAGAAATCATGCCCGATTACTACTGACGAGAGCAAGCCAAACTGTTGGATGTCTGGTTTCAAAATAAAGCAAACTCTTCAATAGTTTTAACCTACAAGTGTGTAGTTTGTATGCACACACGTCAACATATATGTACGCGCATGCATGTGAGGCCACACAGTTATTTGATCAATAAAGTATACATGATTGTACAGAAACTGAGTTCTTTTGAGAACGTCCATAGCGCATACCTCTCGGTCTCTTTCCTGGACAAGTGCGGTGGCTTCCTCGAGTTGTTGTAATTGCTTCGTCGTGAATTCCTAATAAACCAATTTCGAAACAAGAGGCGTCGTGAATTCCTAGTAACCGGAGTTC